GGGCGGTGGGGTGGGCACTTGGGGAGGGGAAGGAAGTGATGAGTGACGGCTGCCATGGGGGCGTTTGGGGACAGGTCTGGCCACGGGGTGCGGGAAGGGCCCCACACCGCACTGCTGGGAGTGGTGCCAGGTTTGGCCGAGCACCGGGGAGATGGGGATCCCTGTGCCCAGCAGAGCTCCACCGGGCATGGCCCGATGGGAGGAACCTGTCCCTGGGGAAAGCGTCACGGTGCTGGTCCCTGCGCAGGTACGACAGGACCAAACTGACCCTGAAGGCCATCTGCAACTGCCAGTACGTGGCCTGCATGAACCCGACCGCAGGGTCCTTCACCATTGACCCCCGGCTGCAGGTACGCAGGGCCCGGGGTCTGTCCCAGCGGGTTTGCCCTCCTGGGACCACAGCCCAGAGGAGTGGGACGAGGTGAGGGACCTCACGGTGCCAGCTGGCTGCGTCAGCCCCTGCGGGGCAAAGCTCCCACCTGAATTTTTGTCCCTTGCTGCAGCGCCACTTCACCGTCTTCGCCGTGAGCTTTCCCGGCCAGGAGGCTCTGCTGACCGTGTACGGCACCATCCTGGCGCAGCACCTGGCCCTGCAGGGGATGCCGCTGGCTGTCCTGGCTGTCCGGAGCCTGCAGCCCCAGCTGGCAGCAGCAGCACTGGGTGAGCCCTCGCCACACCAGGGGGTGGGAAGGCGGTGCATGCTGGCATCAGCCCTGGGGAATGAACCCGCACCCACCAGCACCGGGAAACCCAACCGCACCACAGCCAGCCAGTGCCCTGGGAGCCCCTCACTGCACCTCCACATCACAGCACCCCTCAAAGGAAACCTCAGTTCCTCCTGTTCACATTCAAAACGCAGCATCGTGTCCCTAGAAGCTGTCAGACTAAAACCTCAGGCTCATCCTACCTACTGAAGGTCTCAGAGGGGAGAGTGAGCCGGGCTCAGGGATCCCAACGGAGGCTGCGGTGGTCTCTGGGGACCTGCCCGCCTGCTCACCCCTGTTTCCTGCCAACAGCCCTCCACCAGAAGGTTGCCTCCACCTTCTTGCCAACAGCCGTCAAGTTCCATTACCTCTTCAACCTCCGGGACCTCTCCAACATATTCCAGGTAGTGGGAAGGCTGTCTCCTCTAAAACATCCTTATTCCCTTCTTTCCTTCATCATGCATCGTTGCAGTGCATCCTTGCATCCTCCCCAATGCCAGCCTGTAAGCTCAGCTCTGAGTAGCAGTAAAAAAAACCTCGAGGACTGAGGGATTCGTGTGTTTGTCAGGGTCTGTTGTTCTCCACCCCTGAATGCCTGAAAAGTCCCGTGGACTTGGTGCGTCTCTGGCTCCACGAAGCTGAGAGGGTGTATGGAGACAAGCTCATCGGTGAAACAGATCAAAAAGGCTTCGGGAAGATGCTGGCGGACACCTGCAAAAAGTTCTTTGCTGTAAGTTGGGCTGAAAGTGAGGGAGTGCCCCAGCCCGGTGGGGCTGCGCTGCCAGGCTGAGCTCCCCGGCACAGGCTCAGCAGTGGCAGGGGCAGCGGTGCCCCCAGTGCCCCACGGCTGAGCCCCACGGCTGAGCCCCACGGCTGGCATTGCCTCTCTCAGGAACTCGGCGAAGACCTGGTGTTTGCCAAGCCCAACATCTACTGCCACTTCGCCCAGGGCATGGGGGAGCCCAAGTACCTGCCGGTGCCGAGCTGGCCGGCTCTGAACAAGCTGCTGGGGGAAGCCTTGGACAACTACAACGAGGTGAACGTGGCGATGAGCCTGGTGAGTGCCCTGCTGCGGGCATCTCCGTGCGAGGCAGCGCTTGCACCGCCGAGACACGGCTGCAGCATCACCCTTGCTCGGGTTTGAACGTTATGGGGCATTCGCTGCTTCTCCTGCTGTGGTTCAAGGTACCGAACCTTCCCCTCCTGTTTTCTTCAGGTGCTCTTCGAAGACGCGCTGGCTCATGTTTGCAGAATTAGTCGGATCTTGGAGTCTCCCCGGGGCAATGCGCTGCTGGTGGGGGTAGGAGGCAGCGGGAAGCAGAGTCTGGCACGGCTGGCAGCCTACATCAGCAATCTGGAGGTGTTTCAGATCACGCTGAAGAAAGGCTACAGCACCCCGGACCTGAAGGTGAGAGCAGCCTTCCTCCCGGCCCCGGGCCAGCGCCGCCTGCTCGTGGGACAGATCCTGCAGACACGGAGCAGTGCCGAGCCCCGCGGTGGCTCCAGTGCTGGGGCGGGCACGTGGGGCTCCGCTCTCCTCCCATCGCTGTGTCTGTGCGCCCCGTGATCCATTCAAAGGTGCTTTCTGAGCACCCACGAGTCCACCCCGAGGGGCTGCAGCATCTCCCCAGCCAGGG